CCAGGCACATCGAAGCCCAGCTTTCATGGGGCAGGTGGTGGACTTCTCCCACAGTTAAGGGATAGAGGCAGAGACTATTTGCAGAATAATCTCTTCTATCATGAGTAGTAACATTGAGGATCAAATTTTATATTCTAATTAGGCATGGTGCTGATATTTGAATGCTTTCCTTATTTTAAAATAAAAAAGAGGAAGGAAGTAGTAAAATACCTTAGTTACCAAGTGTTCTGCTGAAGGTTTTCTCATGCATTTCATTTAACCTTTTAAAGATTTATTTATTTATTTGAAAGCCAGACACACACACACACACACACACACACACACAGAGAGAGAGAGAGAGAGAGAGAGAGAGAGAGAGAGAGATCTTCTATCTGCTGGTTCACTCTCCAAATAGCTACAATAGTTACAATAGTCAAGGCTGGGTCAGGCCAAAGCCAGGAGCTAGGAACTTAATCTGGGCATCTAACATGGGTGCAGGGGCCTAAGTACTTGGGCCATTTTCTGCTGCTTTCTCAGGTGCCTTAGTAGGGAGCTAGACTGTATGAAAGGCAGCCAACACTCGAACTAGTGCCTGTTTGGGATCCCAGCAGTTCAGATAGTGGCTTAACTGCTGTGCTGCAATGCCAGTCCCTCATTTAACTTTTCAGTAGCACCACAAGGAAGGTATATGTAATGCCATTTTATAGGGATTAGGACAGGTCACAGAGCTGACCAGTGGCAGATCTGAGAGTGGAGCCCAGATTATTGTTTTTTCCTGCAACCATTAGGTGTTTTGAATATTGAGTTCTCCATCTTCACACTGTACCTACCTACCCCAGAAAAAAGGGCATGAAGGTACCTGAATAAACCTAATAGAAAAACCAAATAAAAAGCTAAGTTCATTTTGGTGCAAAATACTTTGAAACCTATACATAGTTTTCCTGTAATACACATTTTTTCATTCACCTTTGAAGAATCTTTGTATACAAAAAATTTTGTACCCGAAGACATTTATCTTTTAATTTCATTACACGTGAACTTATTCAAGTACTCCCTGTGCATTTTCTGTGAGTAGAGCTGCATCTCTCCCCAGTTTCCTGATAATGATGGCTCCTGCAGGTGACATGCTCAACACAATGCTGTCAGGGCTTTTGGCTTCCAGAGGATCAATGCCCCTGTAGCTTGGGTGTGGCTGCATCCCCTTTCATCATCGTTGTCTTTCTTTCTTTCTTTTTTTTTTAATTATTTATTTGGAAAGAGAAGGAGAGAAAGTCATCAATCGATGATCCAGTCCGCAAATGTGCATCTCTGGGGCTGAGCCTGAGCTGGGGCTGAACTCAGCCCAGGTCTCCCACTTGGGTGGCAGGAACCCAATCACTGGAGCTGTCAGCTGCTGCCTCTGAGTCTGCCTTTCTAGGAAGCTGGATCAGAATCCAGAGTCAGGAACCAAATCCAGTTACTGTGGTGTGGGACACAGGTGTTCTTAGCAGCATCTTGGTCACTAGACTTGATGTCCATCTCTTGACCCTTTTCACTCTTACATGTCTTGCTATCCCTTGGAATGTAGGTGCCGGGGTAGGGGGGTGGGAAATTAGGAATTCTGGTCAGGAAATACCTGCCCCGAGAGTATTTCAGATGGTCTACTGGGGTTGTTTACTCTGCTCCCCCAACCCCTTATAGGAAGTGCCTTGACCATCTAAATGTTAGCTTGTTTGTTGTTGATGTTGAGTAAACATTACTGTGCTAGCCACATAATGGTAGTGTAGAGAAAAGTAGAATGAGTACTGGGGACAACCAGATTTAGATTTAGCTCAGGAAATCTTGCTTTCCCGTTAGGAAAATAAAGTCTCCTAATTGCTACTCCAGAAAGGAGAAAGTATTGGGAACAAGAAGAGTCATGGAGGTTAGATGGGAAGGCTGAGAGGGCTGGGGCGAGGGCTCCGCATTTTCTCTTTTAGTCAGTGGGGGAAGAGAGGGGCTCTGAGGCTTGTGTTAAGACTGGAGTTTGGCACAGGGGCAGGAGCGTGGAGCGCCGGTGTTTGGCAGGTTTCAGTGAGAATAGGGGAGGTATGGAGGACTCCTCATCTTGGGGATAGTTCAGCAACGCAGTTTCACAAAGATTGAATTACAGATGCAGGTTGCTAAGGTCCCCTCCTTGGTTCTCAGTGGCAGTGGGGCACCACTGCAATCGATTCTGCATTCTCATGTAGCTACCTGCAAAGGTAGCTCTCTAATGGGGTGAAAAAGAGAGGATTGTGTTTTCTGGAGGAGGGAGAGGAGGAAGCAGCACAGCCTGCCTGAGGAAACCTCTGTTCACGTCGCGGCCTTTCTTTCCCTTTTCTTGCACGGGAGAGCTGGCTGGACAGAAGTCATCTGAAACAGAAGGTTACTGTCTGCTGCAGCTCAGTCCTGCAAGACTGCAATGCCAGCCTCCAGTGCGGTCCCCGGGCTTCCTGCACTTGTGCCTCGTCAGCTACAGATCCAGGCGTAATGGTGACTCTCATTTCGGGTTTGTTCATTCACTAGGACTCAGAACTCAGGAGGGCACTGTACGTGTGATTACAGTTGCACCTTCATGGATGTATCTCAGAAGAGCCAAATGAAAGAGATGCACAGGGCAAGCTAAGGGGCAGGGCGAGGGAGGCTACAGAGCTCCCATGCTGTCTCCTCGCACACCCTCTACCCCGGCACCTTGGTAGACTCACCAACTCGGAACCCTCATTGTTCTGGAAGTTGCTCCACAAAGGACGCATTCTTTCCCAAATCCTCATTTCCCAGCTGTGAAGTTTGAGATAGCCCCTTCTCTGGCATGCGGAGGAGAGATTTCTGGAGTCTGGTAGAGCTTCCTTTACATCCCAGCTCCCTGGCTGACTAGTTTCTCCTAGCATCAGTTTCTCCACGTGATGTGAAGAGGAGGATGCGTGGAGCTTGATGGACAGGAGATGGTAGCTCATTTCTTTTCACTGTTCTCAGGGTGGAGTATCCTAAGTACAGGTGGTGGCTTTTTTTTTTTTTTTTTTTTGACAGGCAGAGTGGACAGTGAGAGAGAGAGACAGAGAGAAAGGTCTTCCTTTGCCGTTGGTTCACCCTCCAATGGCCGCCGCGGCGGCGCATCACACTGATCTGATGGCAGGAGCCAGGTACTCATCCTGGTCTCCCATGGGGTGCAGGGCCCAAGCACTTGGGCCATCCTCCACTGCACTCCCTGGCCACAGCAGAGAGCTGGCCTGGAAGAGGGGCAACCGGGACAAAATCCAGTGCCCCGACTGGGACTAGAACCCGGTGTGCCGGCGCCGCAAGGCGGAGGATTAGCCTAGTGAGCCGTGGCGCCTGCCGCAGGTGGTGGCTTTTAAGGTCAGCTGCTTCCTTTCTCCTTGCTCCTAGGTCAGAGGTTTGCAAAATGTGGTCCCTGGAGCATCAGCAGCGTCTTTTTCACCCAAGAGCTTGTTGGAAGTGCAAATGAGATGCACTGAGATTCAGGTTAGTGGAGGGTTCTTAGCTTTATTTGGGAGTGGCAAAGGTCAGTGTTTGGCATGAGTGTTCTGGATACTTCGGCCTCAGGGGACAACTTCCACTGAGCCTGCAAAAGACCGGAAGAGTCACTGCCTTGCTCCTGTCTCAACTACCCCATCCCCAGAGGTTGGTAGGGGCTTCTCTGTTGACACTTACATTTACCTCTAGCACATTCCTCGGGATTCTCAACCTCAGCATTATTGATATTTTGGGTTGGATAATTATTTATAGTGGGGGTTTTCCTGTATAATATAGGATTTTTTTTAAAAAAAAGATTTATTTATTTGAAAGGCACAATTAGAGAGAGAGAGGGAGAGACAGAGAAATCTTCCATCTGCTGGTTCACTCCCCAGATGGCTGCACTGGCCAGCCGTGGGCCAAGCCAAAGGCAGGAGCCAGGAGCTTCTTCCAGGTCTCCCATATGGGTGGCAGGGGCCCAAGCTCTTGTGCCATCTTCTGCTGCTTTTCTCAGGCTATTAGCAGGGAGCTGGATCAGAAGTGGAGCAGCTGGGACATCCAGTGCCCATCGGGGATGCCAGTGTTGCAGGCAGAGGCTTTACACACTATGCCACGTTGCCTTGTAGGATTGTAAGATTGTAGGATCTTTAGTAACGTCATTAAACTGCGCACTGGCTGCCTCCATGTTGTTGTAATAAAGTCTCAGTACGTTTACCTTTTTAATTTGAAAGACAGAACAACCAGAGATGGTAGATGTGGATAGAGATCTACTGGTTCATCCCTCAAAATGGCCAAGAAGCTGAAGTCAGGAGTCGGGAATTCCATCTGGGTCTCCTTTGTGGGTGGCAGAGACTTAACTACTTTAGCCATCACCTGCTGCCTCCCAGGGCTTGCATTAGCAGGAAGCTAGCTTGGGAGCAGATATGTGACTCCATCCCAGCACAATGATATGGGATGCAGATATCCTAAGTGGCAGGTTAACCTGTTATGGGGCTGGCATTGTGGCATAGTGGATTAAGCTGCCACCTTTGATACCTGGCTGCTCCACTTCTGATCAAGATTTCTGCTAACGTGCCTGGGAAAGCAGTGGGCCCCTGCATTCTGGGAGACCCAGAAGAGGCTCCTGGCTTTGGCCTGGCACAGCCCTAGCCCCAGTCCTAGTAGCCATCTGGGGAGTGAACCAGCTGATGGAAGATACCTCTCCCTCTAACTCTGCCTTTCCAATAAATGATAAATAAATCTTTAAAGAACCTGTTATACCACAATGCCTGCTCCCCCTTCCACACATTTTTAAACATCCCCCCAAGGGTGACAGTGCACAGTGTACTCCTTTTGAGAACTGCTGGTTCTTACCTGACCATTCAGGTGGGGGTTGTTGAAGGGAAATGCTGTGTACAAGAGAACCTGCAATGGAGGTGGAACCGGAAGGAGGGAGGGGTCAACAGTGACTTTGATTCTTGGTCCCTCCAATTTCTGGCCATATGACTTTGTTCCCTCTCCCCCACTTACTCCTAGTTTCCTTTAACAACAAAAAACGCACACTCACAAACTTTACTTTCATAAATGACTTTTCTTTCTTTATCATTTTTCTTGACAGGAATTCTTGGTAATGTGCATATAACATGAAGGCAAGCGTAACTTTCAGAAGTCATCAAAGTTATTATCCTATTCATTTTCTTAAACCATTAAAATATTTTCATTTATAAAAATTAATCTAAATATAAATATTGACACTAGAGATCAAAATCACTTGATGACAAAATAATTTTTCTGGAACTATAACATGTTTATGGTTTCTAATAGTAAATTAAATCTTTGCACTTATTTGGCACAAGGAAATCTTTATAAAAATTCAAATGCCATAGAGCAGGCTTTTTTTTTTTTTTTGCAAGGCTTACACAGTACACATTTTTTTGTCAAAACTGAATATTTTTAACACTGTAACACAACAATAGTTGCTTTTCATGCCTCTTAAAGGAAACATTCTATTTGGAAGTCAGATCTTTTTCGTTGTGTTTTTAAAATTTTTTTGTTTTGCTTTGAATCACACTGACAGAACAAAAAGAAAGTTGTCCTTATTTCAGAGTTGTCATTTCTGTTGGGTAACACATACACAGCATCAGCAAGGGTGTTCCTGGAAGATATATGGACCCCCCCCCCCCAATCTGAGATGATCAGGATATACAGTTGGCTGCAAATCAGGTTTGGAAATGTACACAGCAGCAAAAGAACACAGGGCTAGGCTTTTATGAGGTATCCAGTGATAACAAGCTGAAATGTATGGTTTTGGTAAGTTAATCTCTCTGGCTGTCACAGTTATCAAATCTGAAAAATGGGGTTACTGAGTGGATATGCTTTTACTGGGATTCAAAGGGGCAAAACATGATCTCCTTAAAGCCATCAGTCACGCTGTTGCCTTGCTTCCTATCCTACCTTGCTTCATCCTCTGATTTAGAATATACCAGGAGAAAACAAAGTTGGTTTTTATAAACACGCTCGAAACAGTGATGCCTTTGAGACAGGGCCAGACAGACCACACACGTATCAGCTCTGAGTCCCTTAAGTCCAGTTTATCCTTCATTTTTTCATACTTATCCATTTTCTAAGGCTGTCTTCTAACGTCATTCTGCTATCTTGCTGACTATTGATGGGGGACATCTTTCATCGGGTGTTAGTATTCTGCAGTTAAGCATTTGCCCAGACCTCTTTGAGGTGTGGTCCTTGCTAGACCACGCCATGTTGATTCTGGGCAGCACCCTCCAGGTGAGCTGGTGGCGGCCTTTCCTTCACAGTGGGGAGACAGTAAGTCTGCGGCAGGGCCCTAACTCCCTAATGCGACGTCGGTTCAGGTAGGGCTGGGCGTGGGATGGCTGAGTCAGAGCTCTCTGTTAGATGCCAAGAGCTTTGTGGGAATGAGCTGCCTGAAGGGAGACCGCATCCGTGGTGGTGGAGGACTGATATTACTGCACAGGGGCAGTTTTACTTTTCCCCTTAGCATGTGTAAGACAGAGATGCTTGTGCGAGGTTAGGAAGTACAGAATGCCTACCTCCCTTCCCTGTGCCGGTCCCTCTCCACCACCCCCCAACCGTTTTCCTTTGGATAAATGGTTGACATGGAATGCTAGTTAACAGAGGGATCAAAACAAAAGATCTTAAAGACAATAGCACTAGCAAAGCGGACAGGGAAGTGACGCGTCCTTTGAATGTGGAGCTTGGCTGCTGGAAGCCAGCGTCTTGATTTTCGGTCCTGGATTCCCTTGGGAGCTGAAGGCAGAGAGTAGGCCTGACCGCGCGATGCTGGGGTCCAGAACTGCTTTCTGGGCGAGGTATCAGGACAGCCCCGTGACCTCCCCAGGCCCTCCCAAAGGTGGAAATCCATACAGTATTCGATGGCTGTTGGGTCAAGGCACTGTCGTGTACGGCCAGAGGCAGTGGGTCACTGGCAGTGGGGTTCCGTGGGCTTAGTACATCACAGCAGACTCCAGAGTGGGCTCCTGAGGTGAGACATCAGGTACAGTGGCATCACTACTTGGCAAAAGGGACCGTGTGGCACTGTGGTCACAGCAACAGCCTCACACACTCTGCATTTTGGCATGTATTGAGTTTTTCTCTGTAGGCTGGTATAAAATCAATTTTTATAAATGGGCCATTGATGCTTGAAAGAAAGCAAATCTGTCAAGTATCAAGTTAGATACACGTCTTCATTAAGGCTTAATAATGACACGATTCAGTTCTCTAATTGGATTTATTTCTGGTGTTCTCGGGCTGCTGAGGGAGTGTGAGTGTCCCCAGCCCTCATGCAGTCAAGTGTGGCGCTCTACGTGACAAATCGGGGCCCAGCACTTCCCCACGTCACCAGAATCAGAGCTCCCTTCCTCGCCTCTGCATGGTTCTTGTCTTGAAATCCACTTTGTTTGAATATAATATTTCTGCCTTTAATAGTGTCACCCATCCTTTCACTTTTCACCTCTCTTTGTTACTTTACGGTAATTTGTCTTTATTTTATGTAAAAACTTACTGAGTCAAACTCTACATGCTACCACACCCGCCACCTAAAAGTGAACAACTGGATGCCATTTAGGACATTTACAGGCTGTGCAGCCATTGCCCTTTGCCATCAAGCAGCTCCTTCCTGTTCCACCCCTTGCCAGCACCAGTCTATGTTCTGTGAAAGGTAGTTTTTTTTTTTTTTGTTTTTTTTTTTTTGTTTTGTTTTGTTTTTTTTTTTTTGACAGGCAGAGTGGACAGTGAGAGAGACAGAGAGAAAGGTCTTCCTTTTCCATTGGTTCACCCCACAATAGCCGCCGCGGCCACCATGCTGTGGCCAGCGCATCGCGCCGATCCGAAGCCAGGAGCCTCTCCCGGTCTCCCATGCGGGTGCAGGGCCCAAGCACTTGGGCCATCCTCCACTGCACTCCCGGGCCATAGCAGAGAGCTGGACTGGAAGAGGGGCAACCGGGACAGAATCCGGCGCCCCAACCGGGACTAGAACCCGGGGTGCCCGCACTGCCACAACGCCGGCTGGTAGTTAAAAGTAAACTATCTAACTTAGACCCGATTCCTTCCCTGACTCCTTGCCATCTGCTCTTTGGGCTAACTTCTCTTGCAGGTCTCTGGAGGAAAGGCCAGGAGAAGATGCCCAGGGCAGAATGGCGGGCACATCCTGCTCCCTTGGGCAGCGTCGGACAACGGCTGACCAGCGAAGCAAAGGTAGGGAGCAGTGTCGTTGTGCGACGCCGCCCAAGGGAGCGGGATGTGCCCACCATTTTGCCATCGCCTGGTGCCTGTGTGCTTGTGCGACAGACAGTGAGGGGGAAGAACAGGGAGGGAGAGATGGGTGGCCGGGCAAGGCAACAGACTAAATGTGCCTGTGCTTCAGTCCTGTCAGCCCACGCAGGCTCTGTGCTCTGCATGGCCTGTCATTTCCTGTGTAAGCACCTCCAGCATTTGCCGAAATTCTGCCACAGATGCTGGTTTTTCAGCAAGCAACGTGCCATCTGCATGAACTCAAGAGGTGACAGCAAGACAGACTATTTACCGCTCCTTGCTTTACATGCAGGGGCGTCAGGAACAGCATTAATGGTGAACCAGAAATCTAGGAAAGGGTGAACGCAGGTTGAAAACAGAAACAGTTCTCAATCTTCTCTCAGGTCTGATTTGTGCAAGGAGCCGTGTACCTGTCTGGGAAACCCCCACCCCCTTATCTAGCAGACGGTGAGCCCAGGTGGGGAGGAAGCTCCGCGAGGCTCTGGGAGGGAGACGCTACAGAAGGGAGGTACCGTCGGCGACGGGCACCGAGACAGGGACGCCACTTACCATCAGCTCTGCAGAGGTGCTTCTCCGTTCCTTAGTCCTATCTGTGGAGGAGCCTTGGAGAATGAAATTGCGGTTAAATGTTTTAGTGGTGCTCATGGAAGATGCCTCAATGTTTTCCGCTAAAAGGAGACAAATGGAAATAAGTGTTACCCAGGAACTGGATCCATTGTTAAGGAAGAAAGGCCAGGTGGTCAGAGGGCCCAGCTCTCTGTTCTAGACGGGTCAGGAGTTTGATTGTGCATCCTGTTTTGTTTTGTATCAAGTAAGTCAAGGCATCATTGGTGGCTCTTTGGGGAAAGGTGGCTTGGAGATACTCCAGTACACTCCGTAAGTTCCTGGGTGCAATCCTGAAATAGAAAATGCTCTAGAACCTGCTAAGTTGTGTAACTTTGGAGATAAAACCATCTCATAGCAAAACCTGATGTGAACTGACGTGTGGCTATTTAGGGTCTGAGAGTGACCACATCCGTGTGTTGCTGCAAGGATACTTGTATTTGATTATTAGGTGCTTCCCAGAAATCAGGGGCTGGGGGCGACATTAAGAAGTGGACATTACATGTACCATATTAAAGTCAAGAAATTATGAAATACATGTGCACCCAAGGGTTTCAGATACAGGATGGTGGACCTGTGATAGTCTTCAAATTTGTAAATCTCAATTTCTAGTGTGGCATCACCATTTATGTGGTTCTTACATCCAGGGAAATGGTTGAAAAGGTCCACTGGATTAGGGTAGAGGCCTAGCATTGCTGGCATCCTACTGGGCTGGGCACCGTGGCAAATGCGTTCTGGTGTTTGATGGTCACCATTCCAGCCCATCCAAAGCCTCTTACTATAAGCACTGCCGCACTGTCTTGCCTCATGCGTGGAGCAGGCCAGAAGTATGCTAAGCCAGTGAAGGAGCTGAGGGGCGAATACTGCATCTGCCTTCCCTCCAGGCAGGCAACTGAGAAGTGCAGTTCACACTGGCTTCCAGGGGCCCCCAGCACAATTTAGCTTCATTTGCCTAGAGAAATTAAACTACTCTGTCTCGGCTTAATTTCCTGTCTTGAATCATTTCTCTCCTCCCCTACGAGTGTCTCTCGGAATTGCTTCCGAAACGCACTTCTTGTACTCCCATCCTTTCCCAGGGTTTGTTGCAGTGGGGATCCAGGTCCAGACACACAAGCGCCATTGGGGATGAGAACTCCCCATGACATCCGGTTCTCAAGCTCAGGTCTCTGAGCGACTCCGAGGACATGCTTCGAATTCGTTCTCTGGTAGCCTTGTGGTTTTAATGACAGCGTACCTTTCACTGGCGGGGCAGGCAACTTCCTCCTTTGCTGCCTTGATGTGTCTATGGTGTGAACCTACATGCAGAGCACAGAGATCAGTACACCTTTGCAAAACCAAAGACATTTTTATCTTCTAAATTTTTCAGGCTTGCAGCGTTCCAACAGAGAGAGTGAAGGACAGACACACCTGGCTCCTTTGCCTCTGTTCCCGTCTTCTTGTGAGGCGCACACAGGGCGCGATGTTCAAGCCTGCAATGGTCAGGGCTGAAATCCGGCTCTCGATGTCCGAAATCTTCACGCAGCAGCAACACGGGATCCGCAGGGAGAAAACACAGAAGGTGAGAGTCTTGTTAAAACTGTCACGGATTTATAAAGTACCAGTCTTCTTGATGGATGCTCATTCGTTTATTCAGTGTCTGTCAACCACTTCTCTCCTTTGTGCTGTAGGGAACCGATTCCTTACAGACCTTTCTTTTAAAGTTTAAATTTTTATCCGGTAGCCCTAGACTAGCCTGTCCACACCCCCTTCAAAAAGTATGGCTCAGGACAGATGCAAGTCCAGAGCACTGTGGGGAGCAGGGTCACCTACCTTAGCATGCGGGTCAGAGACAGTGGTCTGGGAAGGCTGCCACAGGAGGCAGCACTGAACTGAGTTTTGAAGGGCAAGTGCTATTTATAGGCCGTCCATGGCTCCATCTGAAACTACGGCCCCGGTTCAAGCACATCTCTCCTGTTAGGAGGTTGAGTGGCCTCTTCTTGGGCATCGTTTCCTCATTTGCCATGTGGGAAGATCAGAAAGAGCTCAGATTTCCTCCCAGACAGATAGCAAGAGCCCACTCAGTGCCTGGAGAGAAGCCTGGTCCTCCCCTGTCTCCTGTGGTGAAGAAAACAAGGTCCCTGCTCTCAGCAAAGGACATGACCGTGGGCATGAGCTTAATAGTAATGCCAGTGTCCATGCGCTTGCTACACCGTCAGAGTCTCACAGAGGGGTACACTGGCCGAGACAGGAAGAGGCAGGCAGAGTTGGGGCATGCGTCAGTCTTCCTGCTGACAGGGCACAGCCTGAGGGCTGCTGGGAAATCAAGGAGGTAACCCGAAGCCAGGCCTGCAGCCCCCATGCGTGTGCCCCATCCCTGAGACTCCATTCAGAAGACAGATCCTTATTCTGTTGTCATTTACTGCAGACATCTCTGGACAAAATTGACTGGGGTAGGTGCTTTAGGAAGTGCACAGAGAAGGGCTGAACGATAAGTGATACGGGGAGACTCTTCCCCTGCCCAGCCCTGGTCAGACGAGGAGGAGGAGGAAGGAGGGCAGTGAAGTCCAGCCCTTGGCAGCTGGGGAAAGGAAACAACTTGAGCTGCCCTGCAGGAGCCCGTGAGCTGCCCTGCCGCCCTTCTGACTTCTCCAAGTTCACAGTAAGGGGTGAATTCCTTTGGTTTATAGACCAGTAAATTGCACAAGCATCTGAGGAAGTGTGCAGGCTCAGCTTTGATCAGTCATTGGCACTGGGGAAGACTAGAGACAAGGTCAGCGGGGAAGCTAGCTGCCGACCTCCTGATCGGCTGACTCTCAGCTTCTGGAACGAGGAGGAGTTAATGGTCCAAGCTGTAGTTCCCTAGCACAATGTTCAATGAAAGAAGACAACTAGGAAGAGGTGATTTTGCTATATGGTGTTGTCTTTATGTGCAGTTATGTCCTACTTCCTTCCTAGCACTGTGTGCCCAATAATGACGCGTACACTTGATGGAAGGGCATGACCAGTTCTGCTCTGTTTCCCAGGAGCCACCACTAACAGCTGAGTGTAGGACTCCACCTCCACCACGCAGAAGGACAGCTTTTCCTGGTACCAAGAGTTAGGAGACCTCCCCCAGGAGTGCTCACAGAGAACCTTGCACATCACAGCACCCTAAGCATAGTCCCCAGGAGTGCTCTTAGGTCCCAAAGGAAAACTCCAAGTCGGTAGAATCCTTAGAACATCATCTAATCTGAGAACACAGTCTAGCGTTTCTGTCCTCAGGGGGACTCTGTTACCAGTCTGCAAAAACCCCCTCTCTGAGACCCGTGGGGGCTGGAGACAGGCCACAGGGAGCTGGTGGCTTTGTTCTCTGGCAGCAACGGGCAGCGTGAGGAGAGTCCCACACTCCCAGAGGTACCAGCACTGGGCGATCTGCAATGCTGAAGGCAGAGCCAACAACCTCCTGTGCACGCATGCCAACACACATCTCAGGGACCCATGCAGCATGACACCATTAGTGACACAGGACGTGAGGTAGGACTTGCAATGCAGTCTTGACTCCACCACTTTCTAGCTGTGTGAGGCTGGAGCCTCGGGTTCCCCAGAAATATAAAGGGAAAGACCAACTAGTCACCACCTACAGTTGCTACCACTATAGATACAAGAATGGGCTCAAGCGTTGAGCACAATTCCTGGCACAAAGTAAGGTTTGCTGAACATGGAGGACTACTATAACATCACCATAATATTTAAACTGGAAAATCAATAGGCTCATTTAAATACATGGAAAATGGAATTTGGGACTAAAAACTTAGCAGAAGTAGTTACACAATTAAATCTCAGATACCCATAAAAATATTACACTCTGCCCAATCATTTCAGAATTCTTTTGCCACACAATGTACCAGAAAACAAATGATTGCATTCTTCTTTATGTGATAACTTCGACAATAAGTTCCTCATATCTTGGGTGACATTTATACAAAGTATTTGTTTTTCAGAAAGTTGCTGTACATCCCCCTTTGCTGGGAATAAACAGTCCATGGGACCATCTGTCTGGGAACTGGGAATGGTTGTGTCACCCTTAACCCCACTAGAGTAGAAAAGAGGCACTTGCTCATTCTCAAGAGGAGTTAGTGATACTAATGGTTGCTGGGATTTTTTTTTTATAATTTAAAATAAAAATCATTGTCTAAACATAATGATCACCTAAGAGGTGATTTCTAGTGGCCACAGTTTTCCCTGGGATGCAGTACTGAGATTCAGGGTCTGTACCTAAATCAGTTAACCAGGGGTCTATACTGAACTGATTCTGTAAAGATGGGTGTTTCTCAGACCTGAGTAGCACAGGGGCCCTTTGAAAGAAATGGTCCAGGATTTCTGAGAGTAAGTCTGCAGGCCCACTTTGCAAATTAGTTATTATTCTGACCATACAATCAAAGGCCAGGTGGACATCCATGACAACCTCACAGGCATTTTCACCAAGTTATACAGACCGTGGAGATCAATTCTGAAATAGCCGTATCAAAATTCTGCCTTGGGCCAGCACTGTGATGTAGTGGGTAAAGCTGCTGCCTGCATCCCATATGGGCACTGGTTCGTCCAGTGCAGCTCTCTGCTATGGCCTGGGAAAGCAGTAGAAGATGGCCCAAGTCCTTGGACCCCTGCACCCATGTGAGAAACCTGGAAGAAGCTCCTGGCTCCTGGCTTCAGATCAGCGCAGCTCCAGCCGTTGTGGCCAATTGGGATATGAACCATCAGATGGAAGACTTCTCTCTCTGCCTGCCTCTCCTCCTCTCTCTGTATAACTCTTCCAAATAAATAAATAAATGTTTTTCTTAAAAAAAAAAAAATCTTGCCTGCCCCTCATGTGAAATATTGGTCTGAGAAATCTGTGCTTCCACCTGAAATCCTTTATTCCTCCCATTTTTTTGCATGCCAAATCTGTGTCAGGTGCTGTTTTAGTCACTGGAGTCACTGTGTTAAGCTGCATAGCTTTTAGCCCTTATGATAATTTTAGTCTAACAGGTAATTAGCATGCAAAGGATCAGGGAAGGGTGGTCTTGAGGTATACCAGAACCTACACGGAGAGCATTAAGCCAGTGTAAGGTTTTCAAGGGCAGTCCAACACACTGTCGAGGCTCTAATTAGGGAGGGAAGACTATACTTTTTTTTTGACAGGCAGAGTGGACAGTGAGAGAGACAGAGAGAAAGGTCTTCCTTTGCCGTTGGTTCACCCTCCAATGGCCGCCGCGGCCAGTGCACCGCGCTGATCCGATGGCAGGAGCCAGGAGCCAGGTGCTTTTCCTGGTCTCCCCTGGGGTGCAGGGCCCAAGCACCTGGGCCATCCTCCACTGCACTCCCTGGCCACAGCAGAGGGCTGGCCTGGAAGAGGGGCAACCGGGACAGAATCCGGCGCCCCGACCGGGACTAGAACCCGGTGTGCCGGCACCACAAGGCGGAGGATTAGCCTAGTGAGCCGCGGCGCCGGCAAAGACTATACTTTCAAACTGTGATTTAGTGGAGTCTTCCACCTAGAAGGACCATACTCAGGCAACCTCACTGGAGATGACAGTGAGTTTGAAATGATTCTTGTGGAGGAGGAGGCTCCCTCTGTTGCGCTGCAGGTCCCCTGCAGGGTTAGAGCAGAGTTCTCACCTGGAGCTCAGCATGGTGCACCTGGGCTGCAGCTGTGGCCACCTGGTCCTCCAGCTCCGCCAGTTGCGTCTCATCAGTGCCACTGTGGATGCTACGCGCGGCGTCTTCCAGCTCACTCAGCTGGCCCTCCAGCCCGTACACAGTGCCTGCTGCCAGGTAGACCTGCAGAGAGAACACAGCCCTGAGGCTGAGCTCTGGGGGCCCTTCGGAGAGAGCCCAGTGATTCGGGAGAATAAGAGAACTGGGCTGAATCTCGGGGGGGAGATGGGAACCCCCACTTAGAAACATTCTTCTCACTTAAATAGCAGCATGAGGTCTTGCCACCCATCTGTCAGCCACACTCAACTTTCCTGCAATAGAAAGCAATTTTAATAAACCACTTTGGATAAAACAGTACAAAACACAGTACTGGCTGTGCATTGACCTGTGGTGTGTAAGAACTAAAGAAAAAACAAAGACAAAAACTCACAATGGGTTTTTTACCCTAGCAAAACTTTTGGATGGCATTCAGGAATTGAGAAAAGCTCAGAAAACATCAAAGAGGTGAGATTAACTTAGAATAATTAAAACTTTTGAACAAGTTAATTACTTCCTTGTGTGCTTGAGATAGGTTAAATGAATTAAAATGAACAGGAAATTTGCATTAGGAAAATACATTATTTCTTACAACAGAGTATGATGTTGGAGCCGGCACTGTGGCATAGCAGGTAAAGCCACCGCCTGCTATGCCAGCATCGCACGTGAGTACTGGTTTGTGTCCCAACTGTTCCACTTCCAATCCAGCTCCCTGCTAATGGCCTGGGAAAAGCAACAGAGGATGGCCCAAATAGTTGGGCTCCTGCTATCCACATGGGAAACCTGGAAGAAGCTCATGGCGCCAGGCTTTGGGCTAGCCTGGTGCTGGCCATTGTTGCATCTGGAGAGTAAACCAGCAAATGGAAGATGTGTGTCTCTATGTAGCGTTGACTCAATTTTTTTTTTCAGAGTTTCAGTTGAGAGAAGCCTGTCAAATTTACCTGTCAATTAGGACAATTTTTTTTTTTTGAGAGATACTGGAACTTAGCAAAACAGGTAAGACAATTCATGTGAGATAAGGGAAAACAAGTGTTTTGACTTAATAAGTTTATAAGGAGGTTCTCTTAAAAGTGAGCAAACAGAAAGTAAAATCAGGAGGATAATTCAGACTGAGGGATGCTGGCCAGAGTGAATGGGACAGATGTTTCCTCAGCCTGTTCAACACTGTGATAAGACCACCTACCACATGAGCAGAGAGATCTGGATTGAGTTCCAGACTCCAGCTTCAGCCTTGGCCTGGCTGCAGACAATGTGGGCATTTGGGAATGAACCAGAGGGTGGCCACGCGATCTATTGCTCTCCATCTTTGTGATAAATAAACATAAATGTTCTGATATATGTATATACACAGATAGCAGAACTGGGGACAAGCCAGGAGTTTCTGCACACAGGTTGTGGGCACTTTCTGCACTGAGAACCCGGAGATGCTCCTACTTATCAATTCCTTGGCATGATCCACTCTTCCGCATTAAAAACCGCCAGTTTAATAAAACATTTTTAAGTGGGGCAAAGGCAGGGGCAGGTTTGATGAAAGCATATTTGTGCACCAGCACCAGGCGTGATTAGCTGAGTTGTGCAAGCTTCCAGCAGTGACCTGGGGGCAATGTTTCAGCTGGCTTTTGTTTTACATTTCTTTGTCATATGCTGACTGTGAGAGACCTGTTCCTAAAAAACCTTCCCAATTTACTCTTTGTTTTCAAAAGAAGAAATGGTTACTTATGGTTTCTCATAAGAAAAATACAATGACTATCTCAAAGGTATTTGAATGGAGAAATTCCTGAAAAAAAAAGTTATCTCTTAAAAATTTTGAAGCTGAGATGCAATGACTTTGAACAGCCCTTGTCTCGATTTTTGAGGAACATTTTTGTTTTGAAATAACATTGTTGAACTCTACTTAGTATAGAGTTGGTCTTCTGTGTATCAAGTAAATCAAAAATAGATCTTAGTGGAGAATGGGACTGGGAATGGGAGGAGGAGGGGTGGGGGAGGGCGGGTATGGTGGGAAGAATCACAATATTCCTAAAGTTGTACTTACAAAATGCAGGCAGTCTGTATTCCTTAAATAAAAGGTTTCTTTGGGGGAAAAGTAAATAAAATAATAAATAAAAAGGAAAATTTTGAAGTTGATAAATGTCCCTTCAGAGCAGAAGAAACACTGAGGGGAAGAAAGTGCGGGTAAAAGGGAAGGGGGGAGAGGGACAGCAAAAGGAGAAAGCCAGGACAGTTTGCAGTTTATTACGCTTTGCTTACACTTTTCCCTATATACTTAAAACAAAAGGTCAATTTATTTTAATAACACAGTTTGGAATATGAACTCAGCTTATATAGTTTATATAAACTCAGGGTTCATACAGCATAACAAACTTTGGAATTAATACGGGACTTAAATGACTAAGTCAAGTGTGGTGGCAATGGTTAAATGCACTTGACTCAGCTCTTTGAACCTTCAGTCTACCAGAACCATCAAAACGTGGTCTCATGAACCCTGGTTCCGTGTCGACGTAACTGCTGCTTGTATCTTCAGCCTGGTCCTCTGCTAATGTTTCTGCTTTTTCTGCCGAGACAAAGCAGTATGACATCGCTCCAAGCCCTCGGGAAGGCCAAACTGTTCGTCTTTCACTTCGAGTTCTCCAAAGTCTGCTTTCCTGGCACCAGGGGGAAGGCGAGAATCAGAGGCTCGGCACTGACACCAGCTGAACAGGGGCTTAGGGCCAAAGTGATGGTGCCTAAGGACCAGAGGAGGAGGGTGGTGCTGATGGCATCATGGATTTACTGAGCCCAGGACTGAGCTAATGTTTTGATGTGTCGGATGCTCATGGAAACCAGAGTGTCGGTGTCACGCTAACGACTATGTGAAGGGTGACAGCCTTTTATGTCCTAGGAAGCATTGGTGACTTTCCCAGATCGGGCAGCTGGGAAGTGGTGGAAGCTGGAAGTGAGCTCAACAGGGCTGAGAGCAGGCCCTTGGCTTCATCCTCCCTGTCCTCTGAGGCTATGACACAGCTGTGGTTTGGATACAGGTTCATGTCCGGCCAGCATGGTCTTCAGTGTGGTGTTGAGCTGGTGGAATCTCTGAGAGGTGGGGTCCAGTGGAACATAATTAGGTCTTGGGGTTCCACTCTCATGAGTGGATCAGTGCTGGTCTTGGGACTCACAGGAGTGGATTAGATCCCACTAGAGCGAGTTCTTAGAAAAGACTGAGCCTGGCCCCCTGCTCCGCTCCGCTCCGCTCCTGCTCACGTACAGGTCCTCTCTGCATGCAGCCAGCTCCCTTTCTGCTTCTCTGCTGTGCTGCGATCCAGACAGGGAGGTCTCACCAGAACACGGGCACCATGCTGTCTGGATCTTCCAGCTGCCATACATCTTGAGCCAAAGAAACTTCTCTTTCTAAAGTACCCAACCTTCGGTATTTTGTTACAGCGATACAAAATGGATTAAGACAGATGTTCAGTCTTCGTTGGAATACTTTGGCATTTTATGTTCCATTTTTTAACATTAAAGGTACTAGAATTATCATGGTGATAGATGGATATGATATTTGCTCTGTTGCTAGCTTAAGTAACAGAACTTAACACACTCTATGATGACAATGCGTTTCTCGCTTTATCAAAAATAACCCATTTATAAAACAAATCAGCCAGATTTGCCTGGTTAGTTGAGGCCCACTTTTGGTGGGAACTGTGAGTCCTTTGCAAGTGCCTGTCACTGGCTTCAACCCCACCAAGCTTTTCTCAGAGTGGTTCAAGAGATGAGGTGTTTTTATTAAGGAAAGACTTGGAGGTCAAACTCCCTAGTAGAAAGAGCATAATGGAGCTGACTTTACTGCAGGAATCCTCAGTGTGCAAAATGTGCTAATAGAGAAAGAATATGCACTTGGCCCAGCTTGAACTGACCCTAGAACATCTCCTGAGACTTGGCTTCCACAAAATATATTTCTGGGGACTAAGGTAAGACAGTAACAGGTAGTGTTTCTCTGAGGGCAGAGAACCGCTGAGGAGCCCTCACTACCTCCATGGGCCCTGTGGTGCCACATCTTTTCCACGGTGGTGGGGGTTGTGCAAGAGCCTCAAGAGGGAGGACCAGCATCCTCTGCTCAGTCCCAGACCGAGAGAGACAGACCTGGGCTCCCTGTAGGGCAGTCCGACTGTGCCTGCTACCGCTGGTTGAGTCCTACATGGGCCATACCAGACAGAACCAGTGGGGAATGCCTCTGTGATCAGGGATTATGGGTTATCCCAGCTGCCTCCGGCATTCAGCCACGATGAAAATGAGGTATGTCCTCAGATTGGGGCAGCAAAGGAGAGAGCGTGGACTCAGCCTTCCCACTCACAACCCTACAAAAATCCTCAAGGAGGCTCTCCCCACCGTTCTCACGGCAGGCTAGTGCTCTGTTCGCCCTGTGAATCCATCATGAACGCTTCTCTGGCCTGCTCTGTCCCCTGCGGGGGCACCCTGGCTGTCTGGGAGGAGTACTTCTTTGCCTGTTCTCTACCTGCGTGGGCACCCGGTGCTGGCTGCAGCCCTGCTCGTGTTGAGAGCTCTGAGTATAGGTCCTCTTTCGGCATTCCAGTCCTTCCTGGCTCTGGTCACACTGCCCAGCCCTGGTAATAACCGCCTCCCATTGCTTCTCTCTGGCCTCCCTTAACCTGACCAACAGTCCCTTCATGAACCTCTCCTTTCCCAGTCCAGCTCCAGCAGGTACAACAGAACTCTTTTCAGCAAGAGCGCACAACACCCAGAGACACAGCTACTCAGCTGGAGGAATTGAGTCCCATTGTGTTTGGCTGGGACCAGTGCAAGGTGGTCCCTGCTTCCTGCCTTGAGGGGAGAGCAGAGCCGATTTCATAGAGCTAACACCAGACCACAGATGAATGGTGCCCGAATTGCCAGACTAAGAGAATTCAAAAATCCCCATGCCCCCTCCCCAGTGAAGAGAGTCAACATGGGAGTTTATGGAAACAGGCAATTGCATAAACAAATATGCTATCTCTGTTGCACCTGATGTAGCTCTGAAACCTTCAGAAGCCCTTTTAAAGGTGAACAGTCTCAAGCAATGCTTCTCTTCCCTTTCAGAGACCTGGTTTACGGTAGCCAATGGTTAGCAGGTGCGCGTCGGGCTGCCATTTCTATTTCCGACCGTCTCTGCTTCCCCAGCACAAAGGCCAATGGCAGCCAAGGACTGAAGGAGCACTCTTTTCAACACAGATGACAAAGCCATGATTTAATTAAGGCAGCTGCGCCCGGAGGCCAGTTTAAAAACCTGGCCTTCTCCTGCTGCTCGACTGAATTCGTCCTGAAAGAGCACAGCGCCATGACGTGCCCACAGCTCTGTGATCTGGCAAATTAAAGGCATGAAGAAGGGAGTCATCCAAACCCCTGGAATTCTAAAGAACTTAGGGGGAGCTGCTTCTGCTGTGAAATCTGAAAAGCCAGAGGAGGACCAGGGTGGGGAAGGATTTAACCCTTTGTGAGCAGGAGAGGTGCTAGACAGGGAAGTAGTCAACTCTAAACCCCACCTTTCAGCCTTGTGTTCCTATGGGGGCTTCTGACATCTTGAATCAGGGAGTAAGAGGGTGTGTTTGAAATTCAGAGTGTTAATGAAGCCAAGGAAAAAAAAAACTAACATACAATGATAGGACCTTACAGAATGAAAAGTCACACTAGGTCATTGCATTTCCTCCAAGGAACATGTGAAAAATGCAAAGCACAATGTCTTAAGTATGCCATGAGAATTGACAACTGCTATTTAAATTTGGATAATCCACACATGGTGTTTTTTTTTAATTCTGTGCTTTATAAAAAATGCATTCCTTTCATGGTGGACCATTTCTCTGACTTTGTCAGTTCTGTGTGGCCAAGACACTGGCACAGAAAGAACTGTGTACACATTCATTCTTCAATATATGTCAACAGGACGGTGTTAGGACTTGGATAATGACATGACTGCCACAATCCAAGAAAAATATCTAACATATTTGAGTATTTACTTTGTGACAACCATTGTGCTAAATATATTATTTCCAAAGAAGAGATGTAAATTTAAATATGCTTGATATTAGGTCTTTTCCTCTTGATCAGCCAGGTCCACCAGCCCTGGCCTCCTCCTCGGTGGAGAGGGTGGGAGAAAGGTTAGAATAGAGTGGAGGATTGATGGCAGAGTCTAGGGTCTAAATGTGGCCAGGAGTTAATGCAGGAGGGCCTTATGAGTTCCCAGAGTCCTTGGACAATTCTGGGGTGGGGTGTGGAGGCCCCAGGAGGAAGGCAGTGGGCTTCCTGTTGCCAATGACACATGGAAGCCTGAGTATTTCATTGGAAACAGACAAAAAATGGATGACTGTGCTGGGATCTTGAGTGAGGGAAGCAGGGCAGGCCAGTTACAGGAGCCTAAGTTCTTTGGGCAACTACCTCATTCTCTGTGGTGATATTGGCCATGTTCTGCCTGGACCCCCTTGGATCTCATAATTTCGACATACTCCTACTGACAAGGACGCAGAGCTTGGCCAAACTTTAGTCAGGCTCTGAACCTTCTAGCACTTCCTTGGAACATCCAATTTTAGCACAGACCCTGCCCGGTTGGTTTAGCCAGAACCGCCACCCCCCACATCTGATCAGGTTCCTCACTCCCCACCTTCCCCGACACATCGTCCCATTCCCCTGGCCTGTCTTCAGCGAGAGTCCTCCTCACCCCACGTTTCTCCAGACTAAGTTTCCATCCAGACTCCCACCCTGCTCCTTGGTCCTACATTCTCCTTGCCTGTGCAGAATGTTCAGTTCAGCCCAGTCTCTCCCTCTGCAGACCCCGTTGCAGTGGTCCCTATACCCATCACAGTGGTTCCAAAGAAACCCCTCCTTACTGTGGCTGTAACAACTATCACTGAATAATGTTCTTCTCTAACACCCTCCCTGCTCCCCCAACCTGCCAAGCTTTAACGTGCCTTAGTTCCCAATGGCACAGGTCCGTGCACAGGACTGCCTTGGAGCTCCGTGAGACATCTGGCTGCCGCAGAGTCTGAAGTACCCACTGGCTGCAGGCAGGGGCTTTACCTAGGGTCAGGCCATCTCTGAGCTGCACCTTACGCTGCAGAGCTCTCTGCAGACCTGGCTACTCTTTGATGCACTTCCTCTCTTCATTCTCACCATTCCTTTACCAGCCTCTCCTGGGAGCCCTTCCCTAATCAGTCATTGTGTGTGCATCCTCACTGTGTGGGTCTGTTCGCTTCTGGGGAACCCGCCCCGAGACCCTTCCTGAGAATGTACTTGCCAGGGTGGTACAGTAGCGGAGTGTGTGTGTGTGTGTGTGTGTGTGTGTGTGTGTGTGCACCTGCACTCACTGTGATGAGCTTCAGCTTCAACAGCTTCTGCCTTGCACACGGTCACCGAGACAGGGTAACTCACATTCTCTTCCAGGGAAGTCAGCTGCTCATCCAGTCGCACTTGGTCTGTCCCGAGAGGAAACGTGCCCTTCTCTCTGTCAGGAGGGGCGGGTGGGGACTCCCAGGGCCCTGCAGACTCTGCTATGAGCTCCTCTGTGGCGTTGATGACTTTGAGGACTTCTGTGGAGATGTTGCAGAGAGAAACAGCAGAATACTTCTGTTTGGTCCAATGACAGAAGGGGACAGAAGACAAGAATAGCACATTAACAATGACGTGGGAAGTCTACATCGTCATGAGATTGATTCTGTAATAACACACACAAGTATCAACATGCTGAAGTAATGAGAAGATAAACTCCACACAGCCTACAGAGCTCAGCAGAGGCTGGATTGGGCTGGGCCTAGCTCCTCTGACCAGAAGGGAATGATTTTAGATGCTTAGGGAGGAGGGAAGGAAGAAGAGGTCATGAGTCCACCACCAATCATTTAATATCCACTACCTTGTTCACTGGACAGTCTACTTCCTCGGTGTAACTACAGTCATAGCTTCTGTCAAACCACATCCACAAGTGGCCCAGAGGGTGGCGCTCTCGAGCAGAAATTGGATCAGCTGATCTCTAGCTCTTCATCTAGTTATGGGAACCTGGCCAAGTTACTTCCTGTTTCTGGCACTCAGTTTAGTTACCTGTGCAGGGAGAGTACTGGACCCAGGGTCCCAGGCAATGTCTCGCTAATCTCAAGCCCTTTCTCCCTTGCTTTCCTCCACCACGAAGGTGAGCACAAATATGCTGTTTTCCAGCCTCCCTTGCAGCTATGAGCAGTCGTGTGACATGGTTTTAACCAGTGAGCCTGAAGCAAAAGCCTCTGGAGCTTCCAGAAAAGCTTTTGGTTTCCTAATCAGAACAGACAGATCTGATGCCCACCTCCCACTCCCATCCTCCCACATACTTGTTCGCTCCCTGAATCTGCAGCTTGCAAGCCAACAAGGGTGAGGGCAGGCACCAAACAGCCAAGTAAGACAGAGCACAAAGACTCAAAGAGCCTGGGTCCAGAGAGCAGGGGGTTAGGGGAGCTATCAGAGGTCACTGCTTGCTTCTGGACCTCTTGGTGCATAATGCAAACCACCTATTGAAGCCACTTGGCCAGGCTCTCTGCTATTTGTGGCTGAACGTGTTCCTAACTGACACGGGTCTCTTCCACCTTTTATATTCATGGCTCAAAACTACAGTCAATCCAGGTCTAGGCCAAGAGCATCAAGAGAGCAGAGGCAGTTTAACAAGAAAGAATTGTCACATCGTTAAGTTCATCTGAACTCACAGCACCAGGCAGTAGTTGGAGATGAATGCTGTTTGGTATTCAGGGTTTCTTCTAGAAATAATTATTTTATCCTATTACAGGGGTCACAAATTCCAAGTCAAATATGATCCAGAGACCTGTTCGGCCAGTCAGATGTTTCAACAGTATCTGGAACTTGAATGCCTTTGGTAAGACATGTCTACTCAGTTTATCTGTCATCACCAATATGGTCATAACTACTGCTTGGTTTTATTTGTTCCCCTAGTTGTAGTCCACTCAGGTTTCATCTCACTAGAGGAGGTTTTCCATAACCTCTCCACTTCTCTAGAGAGAATATCAAAGGAGCTAAGTGATGAGGGGCCAACTGAGTCCACAGTCTAGAAGCTTCCATGCTCAGGCACACGGTCTCATGCCTGTGAACTCATCTTAGGGCTGGAACCCACGTGCCCAGAGGGCTCCCCTCTAGCTTGTCTGTTCCACAACCACTGCCTGATTCATCCAAGACTCACGTTCCTTCTGATTTAAGGGACTCTGCTACCCCCAACATTGGGTCTCAGTGTTATGGGAATGGGACAAGCAAAGGCGATACAGACCCACCAGAACATGCGCCGTGTTCAGGAGACCAGCCAGGGTCAACACTTTACCTAAAACCCACAGAGCTGTCACCCTCACTGTCTGTTAACTTGTGGCAGCGTCTGCAGCAGAATTGGACTCAAAATGATTTTGGCATGAACCAGCCGCACTGTTTGCTGAAGTCCGTTTTAGAGAAGTCAACAGGGTATGTAAGAAAGATTTGTGGGCCGGCGCTGTGGCGTAGTGGGTAAAGCTGCTGCCTACAGTGCCAGCATCTCATATGGGCACCAGTTCGAGTCCCAGCTGCTCCACTTCCGATCCAGCTCTCTGCTATGGCCTGGGAAAGCAGTGGAAGATGGCCCAAGTCCGTGGGCCCCTGCATCTGCGTGGGAGACCCAGAAGAAGCTCCTGGCTCTTGGCTTTGGATCGGCATAGCTCAGGCTGTTGTGGCTATTTGGGGAGTGAACCAGCGGATGGAAATTTTTTTTTTCTCTCTCTCTCTCTCATTCTCCCTCCCTCCCTCTTTGTAACTCTGCCTTTCAAATACATAAACCTTTAAAATAATTTGTTACCCTCCTCTTAGTATATAAAATATGTATTTAGAAAATTGCCACCTATTTAGCAGATAAAAAGAAAAACATATGATTAAGGGGTTCAAAGAAAAAAACATTGAAACTACAGCATGATGGACGGGAAAGTGTGGAAATTGACACAAATTTCTCAAATATTCCGGGGTCATGAATGGGCCAGTGTCATTCATGAGCAGGAAGTAAGGGACACTTTAAACAGAAGAAGTGAGCCGTATCCCAACTCCAGCTGAAGACAGCATCAAAGGGCTGGCAGTCCCCCTTCCATTCCACACACAGCCTTGTCTACCCACTGGTGGCAGGGGCAAGCTGGAAGCCAAACACTGCCCAAAGCTATGTGTGTGTGTGGTGGTTCTGAGGGCGGTAGGAAGCCCTCTGTGAGACGGGTACTTCCCAGGTCTCTACAGTCCCCAGCAGTCACTCTATATATTCATTCGGGGCCTGTGGTGTGGAGGCTCTCGCTTCATGTTCAGGGGTAACTCAGTGAATGAGACAGATGAAGTCCCTGGCCTCTCGGGCTGACTTTCACTCTACCCAGCCACCTGACACACTGGCATTCTGTGTAGGCATCAGCATTTGCCAAAGTCAAGAGGGAGGAGTCCCTGGCAGCTGGTCTGATGACTGCACCACAGCTTCAACTACAAATCTGTGGTCTGGTTAAAAACCCTGGAGCGCTGGGGCTGGCATTGCAGCATAGCAGGTTAAACCACACACAGCCTACGGCACCCACATCCCATAGGAGCACCTGTTCAAGTCCTGGCTGCTCTACTTCTAATCCAGCTTCCTGCTAATGCACCTGGGAAAGCAGCAGAGCATAGCTGAACTGCCTGGGTCCCTGCACCCAATTGGGAGACATGGAAGAAGCCCCTGGCTCCTGGCTTCAGATAAGCCCCACTTTGGCCAATGCGGCCATTTGAGGAGTAAACCAGCGGGTGGAAGATCCATCTCTCTCTCTCTCTGTCTCTGCCCCGGCCCCACCACAGGTAACACTGCCTTTCAAATAAATAAATAAAGCAAACAAACAAAAAGCTGGGACCAGTGTAGAAGGGATTTAGCCTCCAGCTGGGGGGGAAATGACTGGGAAAAAAAATTATATATGAAAACTAGATTTTGTTCTCCAATGGGAAATGCAAACTGGGATCCACGAGACATTATCCAAAAACCTAGGAAAGAGCTGTTTGTGGACGAGGGGTGAGGATAGTCAGTGCACCTGTTGGAAATCAAGATAATTATGATTTAATTGGCTGGCCTCCCTGATCCTTCCAGCACTCACTGGCTTAGTCAGACATCAGGTTTCTTACAGCGTTAACACTGCTTGCTATGTAAATGTCTTGTTCCCTGCCCAGCCCAGAGTGAAGAGCAGAAAACACCTTCTCCAACTTTGTTTTTGCACAAAAGCTATCTTTAGCACTGGGTAGGGTTTTGTTCAGATGAAAAGCCAGTGGAGATTCAGAGGTGGCTGGCAGGGAGCCCCGGATGTGGGAGAAATGAAAAGCCAAAGGATCCTTTTTCCTTCTCATTGCAGGATTGAGCTGAACAGTGCAGAGCCGTTGGGAAGCTGAGGGGGAGCGCTCTGCTGTGGTCTCCAGCATCTCTCCAGGTACTGATCACAAGATACATCAAATGAGGGGTTTGTGGTAGCAGATAAAGCAGAGGTCAGAGTGCTGTCACAGAATTGCAAGTTTGGCTGCAAAGATACTTGGCGACAAGGGGCCCACGGATCATGGAAAGAAAATGGCCAGTAAACCTGTGTAACAAAACTGAATCATCTAGTGATCAAGGAAGTATGAATTAAACAACAAATTCATCAAGTACCAAATACATGGACAGTTCTCTTTAAGAATGCCAAGTCTGTGCCAATAGCCTTAGCTCAGGTAGGGCGCTGGGCACGAGGGGGCTTTACAAGGTTCACGGAGGGGCAGGTGCTGTGGCGTAGGCGACTAAGCCTCTGCCTGTGGTGCTGGCATGCCATATGGGCGCTAATTCTTGTCCTGATTGCTGCACTTCTGATCCAGCTCTCTGCTATGGTCTGGGAAGGCAGTGGAAGATGCACCTGTATGTGAGACCCAGAGGAAGCTCCTAGCTCTGGATCGGCTCAACTCCGGCCATTGTGGCCATTTGGGGAGTGAACCAGTAGACAGCAGACCTCTCTCTCTGTCTCTCCCTCTCTGTAGCTCTGCCTTGCAAATACATTAAAAACTTCAGGGAGAAATGGAATGAAAGATTATGTGCATTTCCCACTGTTTGAAACCCTCTTGAAGCCCGAGTTGCTGATCTACCAAGGGATGGGCTTGCCCTGATGCATCCACACTTTGGGTCTCCCCTCTGAGAGCCCAAGGGTCACAGTGCCAGGGGGAACACGAAATCCCTAAGGTCAGCTCTACAACCGCTGGCACTGGAACAAACAGTCCACTCCACCACTTGAGGTACAGAGGCGCTGAGAAGCCCCTGGCGGTCAAAGTCCCCAACAGACCAGTGTGCAGAGGGACAGGAAGGTCACCTGCTCGGGCACCTCTCAGCCACCATGCAGCTTTCTCCATCACTCATCAGCCAAGGGGTGACACGAGCATCAAACCTGATGAAGACCCGGCCCGACTCGTCCCTGACAATAGGGCTGAAACAGGCTTTTAAGAAAGCAGTTTACCACTCCAAGGTTGGGGCCCACCACAGTGGCTGTGTCACTGCACCCAAGAAAGAAGATGGCCAAGCCAGGATCTCTGTGGTCAATCTCTGACCCCTCTCTGTCTGCTGATGGCAGGGT